TCTCCCTCTCTCTCTCTCTCTCTCCCTCTCTCTCCTCCCCTCCCTCTTTCTCTCCCTCCCTCCCTCTCTCTCTCTTTCTTCTTCTTCATTTTTTCTCTCTGCTGTGACAGCAGAGTTGACACATCGGCAATAATATATTGTTGTTGCAATACTGCTCGACAGTAGGTAATTCAGTAAGGATTTTACACCTCTAAATAGACACAATTTTGATCATTTAGAAGGCATGCTGCTTCGATCCTGCCTGTCACTGCCAGAGCTAACCCACACTCAATATAATTATAACACAGCATCGCATTAACCAGACCGAGACAACGGAAATAAAAAAACACTCTCTTCTCCACTCTTCCGAGAATCAATCTCGTGTCTTTTCTTTTTTATTTTAATGTAGGTGTTAATGCCGCCCCATCAACACGATTTAGATCATTTAATTTATTAAAATGTCAAGGACAATCCGGACTGAGAGGGAGACAACATTCCAGCATAAAGAATGAGATACTCGAAACAACTTTTATTTTCTCCCCACTAGGAAATCGAACTCAGGTCTCCTGTGTTCGATAGCAACATTTTCAACCCCGCAACATGACACCATAGACGCCGGTCGTGTTTTTTTGTTTTTGTTTTGTGCAACACATGTATTACGAAGAGCGTAAACGTTACACAATAGACTTTGGTGGGCAGAGGAGCGGACCAGTTTGCAATATTAATATTATAATGTATCTGTGGGTCTGCATGGACAGTAATGATTCAAAATTGAAAACGTATTAACCTAGTTGGCGGTCATTAGAGACTGACAGTAGTGAATAATCACAAATAGGTCCTGCTCACTTGGTGAGCTTACTACACCCCTCTCTCTCCCTTTCTATCTATCTATCTCTCTCTCTCTCTTTTTTTTCTCTCTCTCTCTCTTTCTCTCTCTCTCTCTATCTCTTCTTCTTTTTCTTCTTGTACCCCTGTTATGTTAGAGCTCAGGCAGTTACTGACTGTGACTATAATATCTTATCTTAGTACGCCTACAGTCAATGTTTACGAACAAGACCACTTTGTCTTCATAGTCATACTTATAGAACGTAGAAACATCCTTCGCCTGACAAGCAGCCACGATTTTAAAAGTACGCTTAACTCTTAAATACAGGCAAGAGTGATTTAGTTTTGGGCGGGAATTACTCTTAAATTTGGCCCAGAAGACAGTGCGAAAGACCTATTTTTTTCTTTCAATTTTTCAGAACCACCGAGGGAATTTAAACCTGGGACCTCCTAAATTTGTCGATTTTATCTGGCGGAGACTAGGTGCTCGATCCTACCTACTACCCTTAGATCTGTAGCAAACATGGTGGAAAAAACAAAAAACAACCAGTGCTGGAGGGAATCAAACTCTACACCTCTAAGTCTAAATTGACAGGTGGACACACCTGTTATTCTGAGTAAACTGAGCCCCCTCTTTTCTCTCTCTCTCTCTTTCAATAAATATACCTGTATACAGTTAGACCCATCTGTCTCCTGCCTCCTTGGGTCAAAGAACTCAGATGTTTGTTCTCTTTTTAGTTTTATGCTTCCACCCCTAAAAAAAAAAAATATATAT